CTTACAAGGAACAGAAGACAAACAGTTTCAAATGTTGAACTCTGAAAAACACAGTCAAAATAATGAACATGTTTTCTAGATTTAAACCTGTTTTTGCTTAAAATGAACAAGTGTGCTTTGAATAAATTGTGCTAGTAAGATCATAAATTGTTCCACTGTGATTATAATAAGCAAAAGCTTGAAATTAAATCAAGAGGATAAATATTAGGCAACATATGGTAAAAGTTAGACAGCCTAGATTTTTCCAATTTAAATATAAGATTATACCTCTTGACATTTATGCAGTGAATTATAAAACCCTTTATTTTAAATAAATTATGTTTGTATAAAATAATTCATAAAAGCTATTTAATGCAATACTCATAACATAGAAAATTTGGTCTTATTTTATGCAAACAATATTAAACCTTTTCCTTTTTCCAACAATTTGCTAAACTTTTTAGGAAGTAACGTTTGCTTCTTAGCATCAAAGTTTATTAGCCCACTTTATTTGTCCATATCTCATTGCAGTTATAGTATTTTTTATTGAATATTTTGTTATCTAGCCACAAGTTTTTATCTAAAATGTGTCTTGTTCATTGGCTAATTAAAACAAATGCAAGAATTTATTTGTAAAATATCCACAATTTCATTAGTATTAAAGACTTGAACACAAATTTGGCAAAATGTGTGGAACAGAGCAGAAATTTAATTAGCTTTATTTAATTTATACATAACACAATCCAATGTTTCTTCAAAATAAAGTTTCTCACGTTTCCTGTGAGAAACAATAACTTAACAAGGTCACCAGAGCAATAAATACACTTGTCTTAAACCTACTTACATTTATATTTAAGCAACAGTTTTTTATTAAAAGGTTTGTAAAAACAGCTGCATTGCTATTAATGACCAAATTAAGTTTTTATTTAATTTTAAGAGGGGAAAAAAAAAAGTTTTATAAAAAAAGTGTACTGCATGGCAGCTATATAGTAGAAAAAGAAATTAAACAGAACATCTTGGTAATGGTAAAATAAAGGGTCATTTTCCAAAGGTAAAAACAATCAAGAGTTGAAAAACACGCACTGACATGGCAATTCAGAAAAGAGATACATAAAAGTATATGGCAAAGCATGTACAGATTTGTACATTTGTTGCTACGAATAGAGTAGAATTAAGTAGCAAGCACAAAATGCACTTATCAACATATTTCCCACCAAACTTCTTTTAGTTCCTATCACGGGTGTTTGAGGCGTTGAGCTGGCACAAATTCCTTTAAACCTGAAAATATAGTAAGGTGTAATAACTCTGGATAGAAAGGATGCAGCACAAAATGCCAATAACACGCACAGCCTCTTATCATATTACTTCCCACCAAGTTTCATTAAATTCCTTTAAAAGGTGTAGGAGGAGTTGAGCTGGCGAGAAAACGGCTAATGGACGAATACGACCCCTATAGAGGATAAAAATCTAGCTTTGTTTCAAATTTAGTCCATAGAACACAGTCTATTGTACTATAATTGTTCACCATTTGACACGCTGATATTACGAGGAGTAAGTTCTGTTGTTTTGTTGACAATCATGTATTTTATTTTTTCACCTTTCAGCCTAACTGAGCCTAAATTACATCCATCCATTATCTTTACCCGCTTCTTCCTTTTCGGGTCGCGGGGGTCACTGTTGCCCATGTCCAGCCATCACTGCGAGAGGCGGGGTACACCCTGGACAGGTCTCCATCACAGGGACACATGGAGACAAAGGAGACAAACAACCATTCATTCTCACACATAGGGTTCTTTAGCATCAAAGTTTATTAGCCCATTTTATTGGTCCATATCTAGATAATATGTAATTATAATATAATTTAGAGTTACCAATCAAACTAGCATGCATGTTTTTGGTCTGTGGGAGGAAACCGGAGTACCCGGAGAATTTCCACGCATGCACGGAGAAAACATGCAAACTCCACACAGAAAGGCTCCCGGACCAGGATTTAAACCTGCTCGCTGAGAGGCAGCAGCTCTACCAACTGTGCCACCGTGCTGCCCCACACGTAAAGTCAAAAATATATTTTATGATTTATAGAACATCTTAATCCTGCACAAACAGCTACTAAGTCTAATAAACTCTGCCGACGTGTTTTCACACAGATGAGTTTGCTGAAGTGTTAACGTTAGCTAACTCAAATCCGTTTTGATCATTGCTCGGGCCGTCACATTTTCTTGCGGTTCCTGTCGACTATGTGCAGACAAAACTTACTGAAAAGCTCCTGATTCATGCTCAGTACTGAAATTACTCAATTGACCTGCTCAATTACTGAAAAGTAGTTTATAAATATAGTTTATAGGTCGGCCCATATGAGGTTGTTTTATGGCTGGTGTGGATCTTAAGAAATTAGGGCACCAAATGTTTTTTGGTCAACATGCCTTTTTCATTTAAGAAACTGTAACAATAACTACTTAAATTAAATAAATCTGTATTTAACAGCTTTTAGAATAACTTGTACGTTTAAAAATATTTTACAGAGGTGCATTCTTGTCCAAAAAACTAAATTAAGGGCTACTCATTAACTGATTATGGATGCCCTGGCACTAATATCAGCTGATTTGGTCAGCCTTTGGAGTTTTAAACTCACTTTTTTTTTTTTATAACTTTTCCTAAGTGGCATGCCCCCCACCTCTCATCCCTACTGTCTCACACAGGCAGGAGTCTACAGGCAAAATAGTAATTGCTGCAAACATTAAATGTAAAAAAGAAAAAACCACTTAGGTTGTAAAGAAAAATCCACAAACTGACAAACTGTCTGCGTTTTATGGTGAATTTAAATGTTAACATTCAGTTCTGGGTTTTGAAACCTCAAAAGCGTTCAGAAAGAAGAGCAGTTTGTTGGTTTAAGCTATGCAATCAGACTGATATCTTAGTTTTGACAAGTCCTAGTAAAGCACAAGAAAACATCTTTATCCTCAAACCAACAACTGGTTCAGTCAAAAGCTTTAAAAACACAAAAGCTATCACCAGGAGGACTCTCGGGCGTTGTCGAGGACAGCTGACAAGATGAACTCCCGCAGAGTGGGCCGTGCTGTTTTAATAGTTATTTATTCCTCTTTCTGATTCAAGGGCCCTTTTGTTTTCAGTGGGGAGCATTAAGGTGGACCGGCACCAAGGTCCATCATTGGAGCCGCAGTCCAAATTCCAGAGAATCTTGGCAACTCCTCAGGATGGATGGGACCCTCATGCATATAAAAACCCCACAATGGATGAATAGGTAAACAGAAGAGTGTGAAAGAGTGATGGCAAAAAGAGAATGTTCGCTCTCGGGGAGGCACAAAGAGGGCAGTTTGAGAGTGGGAGATGGGAGAAAGCCAGAATGGGGGAGGAGGGAGGGAGAAGAGACACACTGGTGAGCAAGAGTAAAAGTTTTGTCTGTTTGGGCTTTTAGAGGGTGCTGTGTGTAGAGTTAACTCAATCAAAAGGTGAATTATACCTCCTGAGACACTCAGGTAACCTTTCATTATGGCCCTAATCCTTCTTAATAACAGAGCTGCGATGTTGGCAACACCCCATTAGACAGAGAACCACCGAGAGGAAGAGCCATTACTCCCCACCGGCCTGCAGAAACGTGAACACACAATCCTCACTCACATCGCCTCACAGCGACACATTAAATCAATCACAAATTCGACTTGAGCGAGAAAAACCACAGGAGACATTAGGGGAGCGCGCACGTGTGTTCGAACTCTGTAAAAGTACATGAAGACTGAAAATGGCTTTTTGCAGCTAAAGGTCAGCAAGGTTGTAAAATAACAAAAAAAAAATACTTTTTAAAGGGCACATTTGCTCTTGATAGTACAAAATGCTGCCAGAAAAGTGCTGTGGAATAATTCATTTCGCTACAGCTTTGTTTTAGCTTTTTGTTTTTGCACTTTATTCAAAAAGATCTGACTTTTTTTGCAATTTAGATTAAAATCTTGCAGCAAGAATGAGGCTTTATAATGATAAAAATACACCTAGCTAGGGGTGCACCGATAAATCGGCCCCGATTTCCTTAATTTTGAGAGATCGGCCAATACTTGCACGAGAAACCGATTTCACCGATTTCTTGTAGTTTTATCAACAATTGTCAAAACTTCATGTGCATTTCAGAGCACTACCTCATGGCCAGTTAAAACAAGTTTGTATTATTTCTAGGATATTGTTCAAAGGTATGTTTTTCAATAAAATAAAATTGAAGGTGCAATGTGACCTTACAACACCTGACAGTGTCACTTATAAAACTAAAATGGCATCGGTCAAAATCGGAATCAGCAGATCAGGTTTTTATAGATCGGTGATCGGCCAGAAAACTGCAATCGGTGCACCCCTACAGCATTCCTTAAAGTAATGCATGTCGCCCGCCGCCTTTAGACCTGACTTTTCAACAATGGGGAGGGGATGGACTTCTAGATTTTTGTGGTGAAACCTTTTAAATGAGCAATCTCAGTGAGATCTGGAGTGATTTGTTATCCATTAAAGTGTGTGTTGAGGATGACTCTCGGCAACTACCACACTGAGTTGAAACTAAATACCCGTAAAACTGCATTATGAGCCATGTTTCTGTTGGCTACTGATTATTTTCTCTCTAACTGAGGGAAAATTGCAATTTATAGGTAAAAAAAATAACATTTTTGTTCTGACCAAAGACACTTAAAAGGCAGTCAATCTTTAAATGAGCAGCTTGATAACATCTAATAAAAGCAGGTCTAAATTTAGCTTCAATCAACAGAGGTCTTTTCAGATGCAATTAGGCTACTTTCTAAAATAGATTTAAAATAAAGATTTCTGGGTTATGTAGACATGTCCTCACAGTGATGTATAGGCTAAATAAAACGCTGGGAAAACACAATTTATCACTTTGGCAATTTAATGACTCAAAACTACAAGTCATGAGTCAGTTTTTTTTAATTTTTGTATTCTATTTGACTTTAAAAACTAACCAACTTAACTCAATTATGATATGATTAAAAATAAATATATCTGTTATTCACCTGTACCAGTCCAGGCCGTGGTCATAGTTGCGGTCGAAGAAGTGCGGTTCTGCTCCCACGGCCCTGATGTCCGGGTGGACCCGCAGGAACTCCAGCAGAGCCCGGGTTCCTCCCTTCTTCACCCCGATGATGAGAGCCTGGGGCATCTTCTTGCTCCCCTCCCCGAGCGGGCTGAGCTTACCAGCGAACCGGGGCGACACTTTCCCGGACATGGCGACCCTGGAGTCTTCTTCTTCTTCTCCTCCTCCGGGAAGCTGCAGTTCCATCTTCCTCGAGCGCTCATCCGCGAGCGCCCGTGAGGCGCGTCGGGCGGCCCCGTAGCCCCTCAGCTCTGACCCAACGGTCAGCGCGAGCCTCTTCAAGGTCCCCGACTTCTCGAAAAGTACCGAGTCCCGACCGAGAGAGGAGGCTTCGTTCACCGGTGAGGACGAGGCGCAGCCGTCGGTGAGGAGGTGCAGGAGGATGAGAGGCGCGAGGAGGAGGGAGCAGAGCATGACCGCCGCTTTCCAGGAGATGCCTCGGGACGGGGCGTCCGGTTTGTGGATGAGGCTAAAAGCCATACTCGTCCCTGGGCGGTCGGAGGCACAGCCATGCTAGGCGAACATCCCCGTGTCTTCTTGCCATGAAGAAACTGACCGAACCTTAATCTAAAGGGGGCTGTGGAGCATAAACCCCTAAAAATGCTGACACCTGACAGGTGAGAAGGAAGTAAATCGCGTAAAAACAGTGTTTAGAACATTTAAACTACCAGGTAGCAACCTCTGCTTCCCTCCGTGGATGAAGGATGCTACAGAGTCACCAGCTGCACGTGCTGTGTAGAGTTGTAAACTTGTCCCGCACGTCAAATTTCCTGACAGGCATTCCTTCTGGCCAATCAGATGAGGAGGCGAGAACAGAACAACCAATGATCATTCAGGTGGGCGGAGACATCTGTGCACCGTCCTTTTCTGACAAGTTTAAGCATTAAAGTTAAAATTATGTTAAACTTAAACCATAGTGATGAAGAAGAGACTCAAACACAAACGAAAATGAGTGAAATTAGTATAATAATGAGATAAATAGTGTGAAATTGTTATTTTTATGTATGAATATTTCTGTTCAATGCCCTGAAATGACTTCTGTTGTGACTTGGTACTATATAAATAAATTGAATTGAATATATCTATTTTAAATATTTTGTTTATATTTTTAAACGTTTTTTGCCGGCATCAGCGTCTTTCTTTGCACAGAAATTTAGCATTTAGGGTGGAGGTGAGGGACGGTGGGACAAAGTTGGCACATTTGATTTGGCTACCAGGAGTTGCTCTGCATATGTTAAAATCTCCTAGAAACACTGTCACTCACAGCCATTCCACATATTGAATTTAATTTAAAATATAAAACTGGCCCTATATGGGGCTGTAGTGCATATAGTTTTCACTCATGGTTTTGTACAGTGCACACCGGATGACATCGGTTGTGACTTGGCACTATAAATTGAACTGAATTTAATTGAAGTGTATATCTAAAAAAAGGCTAATTCTTTCAAGTACATGCAAACAATATTTATCTTGCAATATTTGTTACAGCTATTGTGTTGTTGCTTGAAGTCTTAACAGCCTTTTCACGTCTTCTCAGGAAACCCTGCACACTGCCCAAGTTCAAGAGATGCCAAACTGGTGACGCAGAGACTGCCTGAACGTGCAGCACTTCTCAGGAACCTGAACCAGGAGTTTGAGTTGTGCTTTGAAGACTTTTGGAGAAGTGGAGGTGACATGGAGCTGTTTTCACTGACCTTCAAAGTATGGTAAGTGTGTCCTGATCACAGTCAGATGGAGTTATTTGAGTTTCAGTGTGATCCTGAGCTAAGGAATTAATTCATGTCATCCATCCATTATCCTTTACCTGCTTTTTCCTTTTCAAGTCGCGGGGGTCACTGGTGCTCATGTCCAGCCATCACTGTGCGACAGGTGGGAGTACGCTCTTGACAGGTCGCAAGTCCATCACAGGAAATTCATGTCACACATCAAATATTTCTACACACGTCTCATCAGAAAGGTACCCAAGCACTAGTATACACATACAATTGATGTTATGTTTGTTTGGCGACACTTACATCTGTGAACAGACCTTTAGTGTAATGAGCCTGAACGAGTCCAGGTTCAGAAGCACTCTGACCCACACCTACAGGACATACTCACCCTCTCAATGAGTCAGCTGCAGCCTGATACTGAGAAAAGCCAAAGACCAGCTTCAGGTTTCTCACTAGTGCCATATTATTGTTGCCGTAAAGTTGTTTTGCTGTTAGACACACACTTTTTGACATTTTGCACTACATACATATATACTGAAATACTGAAATTTAGATAATTATTTTAATTGCCTATATACGACTTCTGTTCTTTACACAGAAAGCAAGGTTAAATAACGGTCTAAAAATAAAAATACTTTAATTAAAGAGGTAGATTCATTTCATGTATTATATTAGTGCACTTGGCCTGCAGCCCTCTGATAGATTTTCATTTTGGCACTTTCAGGGAAAAAATTTGGGCTCCCCTGAGATTTCAATGTCATGATGACCAGTCAGAGAAAAATAGGAAATAAAATCTTCACTTTTTTCATATTGACAGTTACGTGTCTCTAAATAGCTGTAGTCACTAAAATTAGATCAACAATGGCAATGTTCATGGATGAGCCATTTAGGATAGAGAAGTCGAACAATTTTCATATATTGGTATGCATTTATGCTTACTTGACTAAGTAATGATGATAAAAGAAAGGCTTAGGTTGAGACAATAAACTTATTACTTCAGAAAACATTTAGCAGATGGTTTGACTGTGGAGCTCTGTCTTTATGACCTGCTTGATCCCCGATATTTATTCTTGACAGTTGTCTTACTCGTTCTTCCTCATTTTTTATGTTTAACATGAGATTCACTCTTATATTTCAACCCAATCGTCTTATTTAAGTCTGTTTGCCCAACTCCGCCTTCGAAAACGATCAAATCAACACACAACATTCAAGATGAGGTCTAAATTTATACAGCATTAAAAGAAGAGGACTCTTTGTCATCAAATGCGTGTCATTTAAGAGTAAAACATTACATAGTGCTACTTCTAAATATTACACTTCACACATCAAACCAAACCGTCTAAGAGGCTGCAGTTGGTCTGGATCTTTACATCTTTATTTACAGCACAGTAACCAAAGATGTGCTGATTGAGCCTCGTATTTTGATATAAAATCTCAAGTTATCACCTTAGGGGTTGTAAAACTTTATTGCAGATATGGATCTTAAACTTGATGGAGATAAAATGTCTTAAACTGTGGGTGTTATTGATTAGGTAAAGTGATTTTTAATGATGCGGTGTGGTTTTATTTCTAAAGCAATGCTAAATCTGAAGCTTCACATAAAAATGAAATAAATCAAGTTTAGTAAAAAGGTTTTTCCCCTTGAAACTGCATAAAAAGTAATCATTTTTGCCATGTTCAAAGTACAGAAACTATATTATCCCCTCATTTATAATGTGTTTAAGTTCCTTTTATAAGAAAATGAGTAAAACAATCTCAGATATTTTAATGTAATCAACTGAATGTTTAATTTTTAAACCTCTCTGCTGACATCATTGTCTCTTGATGTGCAGAGTTGAATATAAAGTGAACGTTTAGGCAATAATCAAAAATGCATTCAAATTTACTAAAAGGTACAAGACAGCACATGAATAGTGTCTATACCTTTGAATTATTGAGGCTCATTCATAAAACCAAACATAAACAAATCAACTCAAAGTTTGCTGTTGTGCTTAAATGAGACAATCTTACATCATAATTATAATTTAGCTACTTTTGCATAATGCGATGCTAGAAAATTCCTCCTGGTTTTTATGGAAGATTTCTGAGATCAAATGTCGCATGTTGCGTCAGTGAGGCCACCAAAGAAGATGCCCTCTGCCACGAGCAGCGTTTTATGACACATAGAACAAAAAAGGTGGAATAATGATAACGGGCCACATAATTCCTTCACAAGAGAACAAGAACAGAACCAAATGTTTCACATCTGCTCCTGCCTTTCGACTATTAGCATGAGAATAAAAAAGCAGTGCTTCAATGCTGCACAGCTCATTGCTCGAGAAAGCGGATGGAGACCTCAACGGTGGGATGTACGGCCGGTGCCAGATGTCCCCCATGTTGTCAGGACAACACAAGAGGGTGTCCCACATTTAACAAATCACACCCCGTGTCTGTTCTTCATGTCCCTGACACTGGAGAGACGTTCAGCCCCCTCAAACCAACCACGATGACATTGCCTCACAGAGGTCAAATGGCTTCACATCCTTCAATATTAGGCCTTAAAATGTACAACTTTTAGGTTTTTATAACAGACTTAATGCTGAAAGTTTTCAGAATCACTTCAGATTTATTGTAATCTGCTTATTACAGTCTGTCGGCAGATCCAGAGGTCAGACGTTAAACCTAAGGGCTCAGACGTGACTAATGGAAGAGAACAGAAAGCAAAATGCTTTTCTGCATTTTCTGACATCTGTCGTATTACTTTCTCTGAGATGTATTTGAAAGTAGTTGGTGAAAAAGTCAGATCCTTGAAAATTGAAAGGCTCTGACAAATGAAATTACTTAGAATTACACAATTATTTCATCATGCATTACAAATTTTACCTCAATTTTTTGACAAAAGAAGCAGGTTTAGTTGCATTTAGTATGTGACTAAACGGATACCAACTTAACCTCTTTGATTCAACGATACTAGTCATTTTATTGAAAACAAACTGTCCTGATGTGCTTTCTTTATTCTTACACATTTATTTTAACAAACATGGAGCTATTTTTCACCATGTGCTTTTGGGAGATTTTGAAATACTTTGAATCCATTTTACTATTTAAAAACAAAACTTCACAAAGTACTTTTTATACATAAATAACCGAGTTTAATAGAACCAGTTGACACAACAAATAAAACAAATTAACATGTTATTTCTTGCAGTGTACAAAAAAAGACATTTTCATTTTAAAAACAAATTAAAAGGAAGATTTAGTTCCAAATAATGAATTAATTTCCATGCAAAAACTACTACAACAACCTGAAATCCTTACTTAACCTCTTTTTTATAATAATATAAATTTTTATTATTTTAGTTAGTCTTTTTTGCATTTGTTATTTTTTAGGAGGATTACTCAAAACGTTACAGATGGATTTATGCAGTGGTGTTACCATTGAGGTGATTATTTTTAGTTTTTTCTATCATCGCTTATGGAAAAAGTACAATCTTGGACTGCTCAAATAATTAATCAATTCAAAGCAGTAATTCAATGTAGCAGTTGAAAAGGATTTTGTGTGGATTTATTGTATGAAATATCAAATAATCCAATGTTTCAAATAAAATGTAATCAATTATTATATATATATATATATATATATATATATATATATATATATATATATATA